CCCATGAACTTAGCAGAGGTTCCTCTGCTAGTGCTGGCGATTCCGCCTCGCACTTCCGCCCTACCCCGGGTTGCTGTCGGCAGACTCCTGCCGACGCCCCCTACCTTACCGCCCTCCGTGACGGTAAGCCAGGCACCTCCTGGATCACCTTTCTCACCTTTAGCCGGGGACGATTTCGTCCCCTTCGGTGAAAGTGTCCCCCCCAGGGAACCGTCCACTACAGCGGAGGTCGGTTTCGACCCGCTTCCTCCCTCGTCCTTAGTGTTTATGTTTGTATTTGTCTTCATTTTATTTTGTTGGGTCCCCACTCAGAGCCGCTATCCGTCTCCCGGAAAGGTAGTCGCCTTTTATGGTCCCAAGGTTGTCTCAGTTACGAGGCCAAGGCGAGGGTTGACGCACGCCCTTATGGGGCAATGCGTTCAGAGCCGACCAGCGCAAAGAAGGAGTCATCTCAACAAACACCTACCACACCAACTTAATGATGACGGGAGGAGAACGTACTCCGAGGCCTGCCATGGTTTTAACGGGACGGAGGCGACCTTGGCATTAGCCCATCAGCCATTTCAGCAGGGTATCACCCCTGCATACTCAGGTGACAGAATACCACGACCACCAGCCCAGGGTTCAACCGAATCCATCTAATTGTCAAAGCTATGTCTAGGTCAAGCAAAGGTCAGATCAGGAGTTTCAGGAGAAATGTTAAATTGATGTTATTATGAATGGCCGTACTTCCGGGACATGTTTACAGCCATATACATCAACCATCCAAAATTATCAAAATGCCCAACGTGGCAACAAATGAAAGATTTTCTAACTACCCAGTACGAAATCGCTGAAAGGGTAGATAAAAAAACTAATTAAAACAAAAATTGTTCAACACGGCCTAAAAACAAGCTTCAATAGACCCCAAGCTAGTAGCGAAAACAAATTAAACAGAAGCTTTTACAAAACGCAATCGTTCACATCCGAACAGAATAAACATACGCCATGTGAGCTATGCACAAGAGGGCATATATTACTATCTTGCGAGAAATTAAAAATTAAAGACAGAAAGTATCTCGTGAGATCAAAAAAAATGTACAAATTACTTGTCACATGTGCATACATATACAAATTGTAAAAGCAAATTCAATTGCGTATATTGTCACAAAAGACACCACTCAATGCTTCGTTTTAGCAAATTTCCTATCTCACCCCAAAGAACATCAAGTTGCTCAAAGGCACAAAACACTCAAACGCACATTCAAGCAGAAGCTATAATCTTACCGCAACTTACAAATATGCTTCCAAGCTATCACAGAAATAGCAAGCATTGGCAAAGGTTTCACACCTGAAGTTAGCAGATCCCAACTGCAATACCCCCGCTCAAATAGATATAATAGTAATAGCAGCGATCTTATACCGCAAATAATACTTGAAGGTTTTGAAAAAATTTCAAAATTGGCCAAAACACTATATTCGGATGAATTCTAAATGGACTAGTTACAGAACCAGTTTCCACATCAACAACCCAATTTGACGAAAACTCTAAAAAATACGTTAATTCACAATTGAGGAAAATTGGGGAGTAGAAAAATGAATTATTCCAGAAGATCAGTATTGGAAAGCCTTCTAAAAAGCCAAAACTACTCGATCAAACAATGGCCGGTACGTTGTACGATTACCACTAAATACTCACCAAATTGGCACAAAATACCAAGTCAGAACTTCTTCTGACAACCCCAGTGTTAAAAACACAAATATATATAATTCAACCAAATATATTACTGAATATTCCAGAAAATTTATTGTACTCTAATTTCCTTAAATTCGAAAAGGGTAGTACAACAAAAATACAGGGGATCCAATGGAATGCGATATCTGACCAGTTTTCATACCTTACTGAACCAATTCCGCATTATCCGGAATAGCAATTTCGACCTCGCAGGATGGCTTTCACCAATTATGATACAAGCGAAAATCCTAATTCTTCTTCACTTAGAAAAATGGTCACCATTATCAAACAATCTAAACGATATCCGAATCTCCCGATTCTTGGCCACATCGCCCACTTCCATACATAATACTCTTTTACTATAGTGCCTCATAGTTGCCTAAATACTTATAATAACATAATTTAACACAATTCAAAATTAAAGTTAAGGGATCACTATACTATAAATTTTAAATGAACGATACAAATAATAAACTTACAAAAGAAAAAAACGCAAATATAACAAGTATGAAAAGCAACTACAACCGCAAAATAAAGTTGCTTTCCTTAAACCACTTACATGCACATTCGAATGGATACAAATTACGTCAATATGGATATAACATTACTCCATCACCATGTGACCCCACCGCGCCCCCAGCTACCTCAGAAGCAGCACGCCGAAATACATACATATACAATTTCAGTAAATATGTGCAATACTGGACAAAATATTCGCCTAGTGGCCCAGAATGTTTAAATGAGCTGAACCTTAGTAAATAACCACACCACTCTAGTCGGCATGAACTGGCGCACGCACCCTAATAATGGCCACCACAATGGTCCAATAAAGTCATCTCATACCATCCCAGAGATAAAATTTAATGTCTCGGGCGTCTTTAGTGCTTGATTTATCGCGCTTTTAGTAGTTTTTAACAGTACCGTTATATGGGGAGTGGGCGGAGTTGCCACCCGATTTCACCCGTTTTCACTCCGTCAATAGAGCTTCCAAAAACATTTGCTTCCAGTGAATTTTGTTATTATAGCATTAGCGGTTTAGGAGATATGCACATTAAACCTATTAGGGGCGGGACCACGCTTACCTTAAACAAAAATTCTAACTGCAGATGTCCCTCCCTATTGTGATCCTGTGCACCAAATAAGAGTCTTGTATCTTGTTGTGGAGCTTAGTTATGGCAATTTATTTGTTTCTGAATAATGGCGTTTTGTGGGCGTGGCAGTGTTCCGATTACGCCCATCTGCAATACCAACCGTCTCACGGTACCAAGAAACATGTCTACCAAGTTTCATAAAGATATCTAAATTTTTACTCAAGTTAGAGCTTGCACGGACGGACGGACGGACGGACGGACAGACAGTCACCCGGATTTCAACTCGTCTCTTCATCCTGATCATTTATATATATATATATATAACCCTTTATCTAACTCGATTAGTTTTAGGTGATACAAACAACCGTTAGCTGAACAAAACTACTCTGTAGGAACAGGTTGCGAGAGTATAAAAGTTATTTACCTATTTATATATAAGTGTATTCGACTGTGATTTTAAGTTATTTAAAAATATTTCAAATATATTCAAGTTCAATTTTTAATTACTACAAAATATCGAGATTGGCAATCCTGCGTTGCAAGAGATTGCTCTCTCACTCTCAGCGCACTCGTTTCAACGGGAAAAATCCAATTTTCGCAGATATCCTCCCGTACAGGTTGTTGAAGCGGACGGTAGAAGCGGTGGTGACTGATCATTTACATTGCGCTCTCATAAGATAAGTCGTGTCAGCTGATTCGGGACACGGTTTTGCGTCACTGATTGTTTGTGCCTTGAGACTTTACTTCAAAATGTCTTAAATAGTGACTAGAGACTGCTTACTAAATTGCGCTACTAGTTTAAAATGTGTCAATCGGTCGTTACAGTTGTATACCTTTATACATACACTGGTGTCGACAATAATCGTTGCGCTGATTATCTCCTCAGAGAAGATAACATAGGCATGTGTAAAATGTGTAATTGTGTATTTATCTGATTCAAGTGAAATATGGGGTGCTGCGAAGCAATTGTAACCTTATCCATGTGCATATACATATATTTACTTGCTATCATGAAGAGTAAAACAAGATTTTATTTGTTCATAGTCACACTATTATTTATATATTTTCACGTTTGCTAAAAGTTACATTAATACATATTAATAGATATCCTATTTAGTACCTCCGTGGGTTCATGCTTACTGTTGCTATATTTATGTAGGAATATTTTTAGGTTGATAATAAAATAAATTTGCTATAATTAACTAAAGCTATCAACAATAATCATTGAAATGATAATTAAAGAATGAAATCTGAATACTTATGTATAGTTGTTTTACATCTAATTTCTTATATCCTTCAAAACCGCATAGTTTTAGTGGAATATTATCTTGTGTTTTGTGTTGGGTATTTATAATAAAATCACAAAAACCGTAAGCAATCTTTTGAATTTATAATTTCAGCAAAAATGCTAAAAAGCTGATTATGGTTCAGAAACAATCAATTGCAAATATAAATAATTTAACATTGTTGACATATAATAATAGTAATGTGTATATTCACATATGTATGTATGTATAATAATATTATATATTTTCTAAGAGGCATAAAATAACACAACTTTAAATTATTAAACACTGTTTTCTTCGGCACACTTTTGGTTTAATTCTTCCATTGGTAGGCTTTCTTTATGAGTGACAAAAGTTGGTTTTGCATTATTATATGTCTGATAGACATCAGTAACATTTTCTATTTCGATGTACTCGTCCTCTTCGCCTAATGTGATTTTATCATCAACCGGGAGTATTTCCTTTTTAACTTCTGTCAGATAGGACGCAGAGTCATCGACTTCTTTAAGAAACGAAAATTTGTTCGTACAATTTTTTTTATTTTTGGACTCAAGCAGGTTCTGCTTCTCATGGGTCAGTAAATGGTGCTCAAGTTCCGTTCGGAAAAAGAACTTTTCGCTACATAGATTACAGTCGTAGGGCCTGCTTTGCAGTCCATGCTCATGCATGTGGCATAGCAAACTACTTGGAGCTGTAAACACAGCAGAGCATATGTAACAATTAAAGCCCCGTTCTTCACAACCAGCAAAAGTGTGTTCGACCAGATGTTCTTGGAGTTTTTGGGTGCATGGTAGAATCAATTTGCAGATATTACAACGACTTTCAACCTTTAATGAACTTCGGAAAGCTTCGGGACCCTGTTCGTAAAGGGCGTTACGTAAGCGTTGGCCCTTAAAATTTGCGCCAAGCTTGTGTTTGCGGCAGCACTTGTCACAAACTTTTGCTTCTCCGTTAATTGGGTTCGGAATAGATTCTAAGCAAAGGGCACATACACTTTCTGTAACGTTCGAAGATTTAGTATGGAATCTAAAAACAAAAACTGATTATAACTGATATTTCAAAATTATTTATCTGTTTCATTACTGAGCATGTAAACTGATTTCAAAATCAGAGTGGAGCGATTGTCGGCAGCAGATACAATGCATGGGAAGCTGACTTTCATTGTTGTGCTCACTGAGATGTGCTTTAAACGCTGTAACATCGTCCAATAGTTTGCTGCAGTGTGAACATTTTCCGCATTGACCAACCTTAGAATGTTGCAATTTGTGCTCTGCCAATATAGCTGGCGAAGGGAAAACTTCATCGCAAATAAGACATTTATGTTTCCCTGTAGAATTATGACAAGTTCTCATGTGATGTTCCAACTCAGTTCGTGACTTAAAATTTCCTGAGCAATAAGCGCAGCGCAGACTAACACCCGTTTTTATATTATGAACGATTTTTCGATGAGAATTAACTTCGCCTTCTGATCGGAAATCATTGCGTTCGCAAATATCACAGCTATACCCCATTGAAGAGTGCGAAGCAAGGGAAGTTGGAATTATTGACTCTACTGGTGACCGAATTCGATTTAAATCTGCTTGAGGTTTTAAATGTTGTGGTTTTGGGTTGTTGTAAAAGTTTTCCATAGTGTTTGGTTTCTCTATTCTATGCTGAGCATACATCTCTATTAATGTTCGGCTTGTGTCAAAATATCGTCGACTAAGGCCGTACATGAGTCTGGGTTGTTTCACGGTACCAGTATCGACTTGCAATGCATTGTAAAACTTGCCATCGGCCAATGTTGTTGCAGCCGCATTGGGACCATGGAAAATGCTTTTATTAAGATGCGCCGCAAATGCAATATTGTAGTCAAGAACGCTAGTGTTGTTATTTTGCGAAGAAATCGGCATTTGTGGCGCTTTGCTTATTAAGGAGTTCATATATAGAGAGTTCATTTGACTCGGCATATTTGATGATGTTGATACCTCTTCGTATGTTTCGTTCGAAGACAATGTTGCCCGCTTATTGTCTGTGTGATGTCTTTGCATATGTCGATCTAATAGAAATTCTACATTAAAGGTTTCCGGGCAGGAAGGACACTGGAATTGGCGAGCATGTGCGGCTAAATGAAAATGCATCTCTAATTCAGTTGAGCAGATAGTGCGGCAAAACATGCATTGAAGGGAATTGGGTATCGGCCCATTAATACCAGGATGATGCGATTTGACGTGCGAACTGAACTCATTTTCAATTCGAAACACTTCCATACATGCTGAGCAACGGAATATTTTAGTTTCAATGGAATGTGTACAAGCAAAATGCATCTGAATTGCCATTTTGGACTCAAATAGTTCGGAGCACACAGAACACTTGAACATAGGGATTGCGTGCTGCTCCAGCATGTGAGCTTGAAGTTCCTCTAGGTTTGAATGAGATTTGTCGCACTTGTTGCCTGCACAAATATATTCAGAACTTGATATTAAATAATGTGAAATTACATGCCGTTCGTGTTCCGATTGTTCTTGTAAAGCCAAACCACAATGGTGACAAATAAGGTTTAAGTCCTGCGTTATATGTGTTTTTAAGTGGTTTCGAAACTTATCAAAATCTGGTAATCCAGCATTACATTGATTACAAAAAAACATATCTGGCTGGAGAGACTCTTCTGGCTGTAGCAGCGCAGTTGATGAACGTCGGTTATTTTGACTAAGATCAGTGGGTTCATCCTCTGGTTTTTCAGCATGGATATTTGCCGAAGGCAAAAGTGGCTCTTGCTTTATATTACTTTCATTTAGTACGTTGTCTTCCCTTCCAATTGTTTTGTCATTCACAAAACGAGGACTAAAAGTCCCTGATGCAGCCAAACGATTGAAATGTTCAAAATAAGAATTGGGACTGGCTAATCGATCGACATGTGCGAGGCGTATATGTTGAAATAAAGCGGGAAGACTTCCAAACTCTCTAGTGCAATATTCGCAACTTAGCTGGAACGGGTTTATATCCGAAATTGCGTCATTTAAAGCAAGCTGTGTAGTCGGTTTTTGTGGGGAAAATATATCTTGGCTATGTTTCGAGCTAATATGTTCATTGAGTTGCTCGATAGAATTAAACTTGGATTTGGAGCAATAATTACATGTCAGAAGATTGACTGTGTTTGGTCGTTTCGGAATGTCCATTCGATTTGTTTTACTACTGTCACCAGGAACTAATGATGCGCCATGGCGACTTTTATGTAAACTTCCACAACTTGATACAGATCCACTAGATCGAGGACTGTAATTAAGAACTTGAGGGGTTCCCCCTGCCGATAAAATGGCTGCCTGTTTCTTGTGATTTTGCATATGCGAAGTTAATGCTGCAGCTGTATTATAACCACGATTGCATACCGTGCATTGGAATGGTTTTTGATTATCGTGGGTTTTCATATGGATTTTTAGATGATCACTAAAATATAAAAAGTATATGTATATAATTAAAATGTGATCGATAGTTCAACATGTATATAAATAAGGTTAATATTCCATAGACCCAAACTAGATTATTTCACCTACGAAAACTCTTCATTATATATTTCTTACCTTCGAGAGAAAGCTGCCTCACAGTGTGGACAACGGTAACGTCGATCCCCAGTGTGCAGCTTGGTGTGGCGATCTCTAGACCTCTTGTGTTTAAAAAGTCTAGCGCAATATTCACATTTAAAAGGTAGATGTTCAGCATGACTCTAAAAAAATTCAATTTATTACAACCATACCAAAGTTTCGTTATTATATACTAATAATACATTTATCTACCTACATGTGTACTTACATACATCCATACATAAAATATTTGTATATCATATACACAGTCGTGCAACTAATTATCAACGATATTAGATAAAATAATAGTAGGTTTTTTTATCTGCTTGTGATCATTAAAAGCCGAGGGAATTTCCTATTCTGAATTCGAAGGAATGGACTGTTAAAAGGTGTCTCTGCATAGGGGAAATATGTCAACTTTGTTAATATTACGAACAAGTAACTATAAAAGTTGATAGGCTAATGAAATATTAGGAAGACAAAATACTTTCCTAATATCCCCAAAGTAAAATAAAGGAAATAATTACTAAGCTTAAAAAGAGATATCTAAAGTTCCTAACCAAATGATTTACCAGAAATTGTAACAAATTTGAGGATAACAATTTAAAATAACGTCTAATAACAATATATAATGATATAGTGGCGATTTTTTGCGTTATGTTTTGATAATAATTATTGAATAAATTCCATTGTAAGGCATGTACTTTGCTCTATATTTCCTTATTATATTTGTAAATATCACATATCAGTTCAAATCTTTCATTAAATGATTTTAAATGTGACAATATAATTTTCTTTCAAGAGCAAGGTAAAATTTTTACACGCTAGAAATGTGTATACAGATGTGTAATCACGAAGAAACGAATTTATAAGAACCGGTGCATATATAACATATGTATATGGAATAAAATATGTTCATAGTTTGTAATTATTCATTTATTTATATTATTATTTATTCCTTTCAATACAAAGGAGTACTTCCTGCCTCCTCCTACATTTATATTATTGACGGGGATGGGCAAGGAATCATCTATTGCGAGCTGCTCCCCTATGGCCAAACGCTCAATTCGGCCCTCTACTGCCAACAACTGGACCGCTTGAAGGCAGCACTCATCCAGAAGAGGCCATCTTTGATCAACAGAGGCCGAATTGTGTTCCATCAGGACAACGCCAGGCCACACACGTCTTTGGTGACTCGCCAGAAGCTCCTGGAGCTCGGATGGGAGGTTCTAATGCACCCACCTTATAGTCCGGACCTGGCACCAAGTGATTACCATCTTTTCCTTTCCATGGCGAACGCGCTTAATGGTGAGAAGTTGGCCTCAAGAGAGGCCTGTGAAAATTGGCTCTCCGAGTTTTTTGCCAATAGGGAGGCAGTCTTCTACGAGAGGGGTATAATGAAGTTGGCATCTCGTTGGCAACAAGTTTACGAACAAAACGGCGCATATTTGACTTAAGTCGGACAAATGTACACAAAGTTATCATCTTTTGAAAAATCAATAAAAAACCGAACGAACTTTTTACTTTATCTAATATTTAGCTAAAATTGTGCACACTTAAGGTGGAAAGTAAGTAAAAACAAGAAAAAAGCGTTAACCGAAACTATAATACCCTTCACATATAACTACAAAAGATTCCACACAAAAACTTGATTTTGATCGGCCAGTTTGTATGGCAGCTATATGTTATTCCCTGATTCGGAGAATGTACCGTTGTTCGCATCCATGCCACATTTCGTGAAGATATCTTGTCAAATAAAAAAGTTTTCCTTACAAGGACATGATTTTAATCGTTAAGTTTGTATGGCAGCTATATGCTATCTATAGTGGTCTGATCTGAACAATTTCATCGGAAATTATAAAAAAAGAAAAAAAAGTAACTAGTTCGCAAATATAGTATACAGACAGATAGGTAGACATAGATTAATCGACTCAGCTTGTCAGCTTTAAATCAATAAATAAGCTGGGATCTCTGAAATATGCATTTCATCAAAAAGAACTTTAAAATTACAGTAGTTGGAATTTTAATTTTGCAGAAAAGATGAAATTAATATTTTGTAAACGTACTAAAAAATATTTCTTAAGTAGCCAATATTTTTTGCTATCACCGGTTATAATGTAATTGATATCATCAGACATAATTTTGGAGCGATTGCCGTGTAAGTCGGATTCGTAAAGTCATACTAAAATAAAAATGTTTAACCGGAACCAGAGATTAAAGAAAATAATAATTTAGAAAAAAAGTTTTATAAACTGTAAGATATTAAAACTATTTACATTGTTATAAATAAAGTAACTTAAACCGAAGTTATTTGGATGTCGAAGGCTTCATATAATCTACCAATTTCTTCGTAGCAAACTAATTTTTTATTCCCCGTTTTGTATTAGAAACGCATCCTTTATTAGAATCAATTTGTATTTAAATTTGGAACCCCTTTTCAATTGAATTAAGTCCTTCTGTTAAGTTTGCAATTGTCAGTTGATGTACCGATTCAACTGGGTTTAGCAAATCAGTTTGTTTAATGTCTTGATCATACTTATGCATTTCTATAACTTCGTATATTGTTAGCTGTTGATCATGATCGACCTCTAAATGTAATTATTTGGGGATATCGACCATTTCTTGTATTATGCTTTCGATTTGTTGAGGATCTGAAACTGATTCGTCTTGGCACCATTCAAAGCTCTTTGTAAAACCTCATTCCAAGGTTATCTAATAATTCTTACAGCTCATTGTCTCGTCTCATAGCTGCATTTAAATGTGCAAATGATCGGTTTCATCTATGTTGAAAATTATTTGGTTAGTGTAGCTTTTTGAGTTTTTCTGGATAGAGAGATGCATCATCTTTATCAGCTTGCCGCTTCCCCACTCTCTGCGATGCTATGCCAATTACAACGACTATTAATTCGGCTGAATTAACCGTTACTAGCTTTAAACACTTCATTTTTAGCCGGCTCCCATCTTTTTTTAGTTTTTCAAAAATCTGCTTTGCTTGAAAGACAACTAATCAACAGAACAATTTTTCACTCTTACTTGATTAGGACACAATGAGTGTGTCAATGTTTTTATCTGTGCGATAATACCTTGAAGCTTACGAATGATACTGTTCGGACTGTTAATTCCGGTAGGTCAAATTTCTCAACTTTTAATTTTTGCTTCAAAGTTTTTATTTTAATATTCAGTTTACACTCCAAAGACAGTGTTTTTATACTCTCGCAACCTGTTGCTACAGAGTATAATAGTTTTGTTCAACTAACGGTTGTTTGTATCACCTAAAACTAATCGAGTTAGATTTAGGGTTATGTATATATAAATGATCAGGATGAAGAGACGAGTTGAAATTCGGGTGACTGTCTGTCCGTCCGTCCGTCTGTCCGTCCGTGCAAGCTCTAACTTGAGTAAAAATTGAGATATCTTTATGAAACTTGGTAGACATGTTTCTTGTTGCCGTCAGACGGTTGGTATTGCAGATGGGCGTAATCGGACCACTGCCACGCCCACAAAACGCCATTAATCAAAAACAAATGAATTGTCATAACTAAGCTCCGCAATAAGATACAAGACTGTTATTTGGTACACAGGATCACATTAGGGAGGGGCATCTTCAGTTAAAATTTTTTTTTTAAAAGTGGGCGTGGTCCCGCCTCTAATAGGTTTAATGTGCATATCTCCTAAACCGCTAAAGCTATAATAACAAAATTCACTGAAAGCAAATGTTTTTAGCACTTCTATTGACGGTGTGAAAACACTGCGCACGTAAAACAATTCCACGCGAAACACGTTCAAACCTGTCGCAAACTGACACTAAGAAAGCGGTGCGAGAGAGCCCATGCGAGCGGCAATCAAAATAAAAAACCGATCTCCCAATTCGTGTACAACGTGGTAGCGTAAGTCGGGGTATTACTGTACATATGTATGTATGTATATGATTATCGAATGGGTAGTAGTGGGCTAGGCAAACTCTTTATTAATCTCACTTAATGAACATTTTCAAATTATCGCATTTTTTCTCGTTTTAATAATATTTTAAGCAACAAGAAAAATATTTAAATGTCACAATTGCGTTTATTTTAAACTTCACTTGTCAAAAATTTGTTTACTCCTTGGTAACTTTTTTCACCACACACATCCTAAAACTAATACTTCAGTATGCGTCTCAACGAAGCTATGTTTAAATACACAACAGAAACATTAATGTATGTATATACACATTTAAACTATTTACATAAATATACATGGTGAATCATAGTTTCACCCGTTCTTAGCGGCATTTTCACTTTGAACAGTGATGAGACCAGCCGACGCTAAGGCTGACACTGAGAACGGCTTACGAACTCGTAAAATGAGCCAATTTGTATGCAGATTCATAACGCATATTGCACCATATGAACAAGTTATCGTGTTGGTTATGGTTTTTTAAACTGCTCACCAAATCATCAAGACATGAGCATAAATACAGAAAATATCGTAAAACAAATGGTAGTAGCAACGGAGGTGCTGTCGGCTAGTCAAAACAAACAAGTAACTGATGAAGTACATCAAAACTTGACAGTGAAAAAATTTACAAATGATAAGAATCTCGCACACTTTATTATTGTCGTTTCAGCATAACTGTGGCACCATAAAACGGTGTTTTTGCAGTTGAACCCAATTTTTATTTTATACCATTTACAACGTTGTTGGTATCTTCGAAACAAGTTCATACAGAAGCTAAGATGATCACTTAATATTAATAATGAAGTATTTTTGCTTAGACTTTGCTTTCAAACGGACACTGGCACATTCTCCAATTTATTCTGGAATTATGGAATTATATCAAGGCGCATATATCACAATCATTAGACTTGGTAAATCGGCAGTAGATCTATTTAATTTTTTTTTGTTTTATTTAACGTGATCCTGACATAAGATTATATAATATAAAACAGGAAAATTGATTTCTGGTAAGTATAAATTTAGAACTTCAGGGAATAAAAGTGTTCTTATCTTTATTGCAAATGCGTACATTTTACTGATAAGACTCCTTGTTTACTTACTTCAACAATTTTATAGTCTGAAGCTATTCTTATACCCTGGCAGCATGTTGCTACAAAGTAGTTTTGTTCACCTAACGGTTGTTTGTATCACCTAAAACTCATCGTCATAGATATGGAGTTTATACGTATGTACTTGTATGTATAAATGAACAGGATGTCGAGGCGAGTTGAATTCCGAGTAAATAAATGAGTAATATTAATATCTTGATGAAACTTCGTAACGTAGCTCAATGAAACTTCGTACGTGTTCCTTGACACCCAAGGGAGTTTGGTGTTGCAGATGCGCAGAATTTGTCCATTGCCACGCCCACAAATTGCCATTAATCGCTCAGTTATAAAATGCTATAACTAAGCCACAAATTAAGATACAAAAATGTTAGTTGGTACAGGGGATCGCAGTAGTGAGAGGCGCATGTGGATGATACTCCCCATATAACGGTTTCGTTAAAAACTACTAAAAGTACGATAAATCTACAACTAAAGAGACAGATACTTAACACTCGATAAGGTACGAGAGGTCTTTATAAATAAACTTTGAAAGTGACTGAAATCACATATCTCCGGCCCTACTTGACCGATTTCAACCAAATAGGTAATATTATCCTTATACATCTACATACATATGTTCCAGTGGGGAAAATGTGTGAAACTGGACAAAAACGACGATTTTCCATATAATTCTTTAACTTTTCAGTATACAAATAAAGCACCAATGCATACCTATATTGGGTTAAAATGTTTTAAAATTATTTCATCCCGAGTCTAAAAATTGGATAAGCACCCAGATACCGGAAATGTGGACCCCAATGCCTAAGGTTGACATTTTGCCGAGATAGCGGTGAATGTGCGATATATATAACTGAAATTCGTAAAGAATACTTTCTTGATAGAAGGGTGTCCGTTGAAAGATTTTCGAACTTCTGTCTGAATTTATACCGCAGATATCGGCCAATACGTGCGTTATCTTAACAAAATCGGGTGAGCGTGATTTTCAGGTAATGGCTCGTCTTTATGTCTAAAATAAATAATCGAATTAAAATGTGTCCTAGCTTCCATATAACTTACATCAGGATTTTCAAACATCTGGTTGACTTTACTTCTTATATATTGGTGAAGGTATCTTTTTTAGTTAATAAAATGTAATAATGCCAAAAATAGATAAAATCGGGTCAATAATAAATAGTAGTTAGGGACTATATACCTAATATAAGATTTTCAAATCTATAGTTTGGTTTTATTTTTCGTCCGGTTACTCCTTTCGTTCAATATGTATGATATCTTAGCAAAATTAACTAAACGTATAATATTGGATATACTATAGTTTATTTGGATAACTATAGTAATATGTGAAATTATTTTACCAATTACTTTGAATCCCATATACTACATATAATAATTTTCGTTACGCTGAATATCTCGATTAGTGTGTGAGTTATTTAGTTATGAAATTGCTTGAAAATATGTTCTCAAGAATACCTGAGCAATGTCAAAAGTTAATGCAATCGGCGCAGACCTTTCCTTCTTCTGGTTGACATTTGGCCATCAACTCAATTAATTAAATTCAACATCTTCGATTAAGTTTTAATCGTATACTGTCGTTCGAACATGATTTTAATATAACTTTAGCTGACGCGAAGTAAAATATCGCGTTCAAACTAAGTGAGTCTATGACCTATAACATAACTTAATGAAATACCAAAGTTTATTGTAATCCACTCACAATTGTGTCGAACAATGAATGTTTAACTCTTCAGCAACATTTTTTAATATAAAGTTTATCCGGCTTTGATTATTGCAAGTTGCAAGAGTATTAAAACGCGGTTATACCCTAACTTAGCCCTTCCTTACTTGTTACTATTATTTTAACTGAATTCATTTTCTGTTTTCATACTCTCGCAACATGTTGCAACAGAGGGTATAATAGTTCTGTTCACCTAACGGTTGTTTGTATCACCTAAAACTCATTAAGATAGATATGCACTTATATTATATATGTATATAAATGATCAGGATGACGAGACGTGTTGAATTCCGAGTGAATGTCTATTCGTGGGTGTGGCACCGCTTTCCTTTAGGGAAAATCCCATATCGTAGGACCTGCTCGACCAATTTTAACCAAATTCGTTACATAATATTATCATAACATTTTTATGTTACGGTGTTAAAATAATCAAAATCGGAACACAACCACGCTCACATCCCATATAACACAATTCTAAATTCAATATGATTCTTTCACTCCACCGTATACAAATCAAGTACCAAAGAATATATTGGGATACAACTTTGCAAAAATAGTGCCTTTATGATATGTTACCTCAAGTCTAAAATTGGTCATAATCGGATGATATGTGTTCAATCCCCTAGATACCGAATATGTAGACCTTAGTGCCTATAGCTGACTTTTTACAAAAAATATCGGTCAATCTGTGTGAAATATTATTGAAATTCGAAGAGAGTTTTTTCGTGATAACAATGTACTCTCGTGCATAAAGGCGGTTCAATATTTTCTCTAGCCCCCAATATAAAGCTTTTTGAACTTCCGGTTGAATTTATAATGTATACATATATCGGTCAATCTGAGATGGTTTTCAATGAAATTGATAGAATATGTTTTCCTTATAATAATATATTGTAATGTAAGATATGGATTAAATCGGGACAATACTACCCCTAGACCCCATATACCCAATACAATGATTTCAAATTTCCGGTTGCTTTTATACCGTATATATCAGTCTTTGTGTAGGATAAGCTATCAAAATGAAGCGACCCTATAATATTTATTATATTGCAGTTTAAACTATGTCGATCAGAGTGTGTGCTATCTTCGTAAAATTGCGTGAAAACATGTTTCTGAATATACTTGAGTTACACTTTTTGGTTGAGTTTATAAATATCACATATACCTTATTTGAGTTAACTAGGCTGATTTTAGTACCAATATTCCGGATATGAAAGCTTGGTGAGTCTACGACCTATAATATTTCTTAATGATGTACCTAACATGATTTTGAATATAAAGTTATGCCAAGACCTCAAATTATTTCCCCGGCTTTGTTCCTTCCGAGAGAATGAAATGTTCAGTTATACCCGAACTTAGCCTTTCCTTACTTGTTATACTTTATTTAACTACTAAAGAACACAATTAAACTCAATTGGTGGGAATACGTGTTCTCTCCTGGAATATATTATTTTATTATTTTTTTTAATTTTGTATTATTTGTGTATGGTACCATTCATCATATTCAATTATTCAATCAAATATTTAGTTTTAAAACCGTCGAGTTTTACATTGAAATTAAATTTTTCCGAAAAAAGTTGACATCATCCAAATTACCAAGAATATATATTCTATTTTATCATGGAAATTATTATATTATTGATTTTTTTAAGTTACCAACAAATTTATTTTAAAAAATTATTGTTTTTACATTAAACATTAAAATATTTCAAACAAGTTTCTGTTTGAGGAAAATACAGGATCGTCAATACTTCATAACTTTAGTATACATCAACTAAAAATACTTTCTTTGCTTTTCTACTTACATCCGCAATGTAAGAAAATGTTCAAGTATTAAGAACAAACGTCGTAAGTGATTTACATACAAGAAATTCTGAAATAAAAATATTCTATATTTACATATTCTACTCATCTACAGATATATACATATGAACAAATCTAAATAAAAAAAAATTTAAAAATAATTTTAAAAAATTAAATCCTCTTATATAATATATTATATTATCACGCCTTCCATACTGAGACTCACCTGTTCGTGTTTTTTTAAATACCCAAGCCGCGGAAATGATTTTTCACAGAACTGACATTGATAAGACCCATCAACGTTGCTTCCCTTAATGCCATTTCCTGTCAACTTATCAAACTTTGTCGCGACTCTTTCAATTTTTCTCAGTTTTGTAACAAGCTTCGCAGTATGATACTCTCCATGGTGGTAAAGGTGCTGCCGATGAAGGCGCGCTTGTCGTTTGTGTTGCATATCTGAGTTAATATTGCCTTCTTCAAGTTTAGTTGTGTTAAATGTTTCTGCAGAGCTTTCTTTTGCTGGTTTGGGATCTTCATTACCTTTCACTTCGTCTCCGTCAATATTAACTCGTTTCGTTTGATTTTCGTTGCGACTAACATCTCCGTCCGAACGCTGCTGCGGAAAGTATTGCATAGTTTGTAATTGAGCAAGATGTGGTGTTGTGTGTTCATGATTTTGTAATGAATTTGGTGTTAATGTGCCATCCGACACAGATGGTGAATAGTTTGAAGATGTATGCGTCGAGTACATATCTGCAAATAAAAAATATCAAATATTTCAGTATTGAATTTACAAAAATGAAATACCTATGTGTATATGTACATTAGGGTGTTTAGTACAGCTGACACTCGCAAACAGTCGATGCGCATTTGCGTTTCTTACATATACATTAAACACATATTTTTCGTTAGATCAACGTGTCAGGATCAAAACTTTGTTCTAATAAACCAGTTTTAGCAGTGTAAATATCAGTATCCGTGAATGCATATATGTATAATATATTACTCGTATACTTAAAAAAGTCCTTATTGTGTAAAGAAACTTGTGAATTTATATTGAATTTGGAGTGATTTGCAAAATAATTATACAGTTCGACTAGAGTTTGTCAGAAAGTTAGGCATTTTGTTTGGAAACAAAAAAAACATCTTCTTTGCAACGACAACGGGAGCCAAGTCGAACATCACCATATCCTATACAAGAATCTGGTTCGAACGCAAACATAATATCGTTGCAAGAAGATTGGACAACTCAGGTGGAGTGTTTGCAACGCAAAACAAAAAAATATCAATGCAGAAAGTTCCCACCATTCCAAAATTAATAGCAGCGCTTAACAGGTGTCACTTACTTATGTATGAAAGATGCCACATACGTTCTTGAAGCTACTATTGAAGCGACAGAAAACTCATTATTTTCCGATTTCTTCAATTCGCACAGTATTCAACACAGTATATAAGTGTATTCAAATCAATAATCAGTCAAGTGGCAACAAGCACGAATATTCCATTTTTCAAAAGCTTCGAAATAACTGGAGGAGTGTTGACCCAAATTGCATACATGCTACAATATAAAGAAAAAATAGGTTTGCATCTGATTATTTCCGAAATAAAAAATATGATCAAATACTACCAATCCGAATTGCTCAAATATATAGTCCGAAATAAATATCGAGAACTAATTGAGCTCTCAGTGATATTTCTAGTTCGAGATAAAAATCAAAAATTTGTAATTAGACTTCCAGGTACCTTTCACAAAGCAAGGTGGATGGCGAGCGTGATTTATGCACTGAAAATAGCAATCCTTAGCACTCAACTTAAAATGACGAACAATGATAAGTTCGATATTTGTTTGTTCAACGTAGGATGTTAAGCCTAGACTAGAATGTATTTTGGCCCTAAAAGCACCTTATCAGGATTTGTGATTTTAGAAGTCAATGAGGACTTATGGAAAAAGCGTTACAAAGGTCTTGAAAACTGCTTTACAGAAATAAATCCACAATATATATATGTAACCGATGAAATAGCTGTTTGTATAACCAAGCGAGAATCCGTTAAACCATGGTAACACTACATCCCATATAAGGAAAAAACGCTGCGTACAAGAACACCGGAAGATATATCCTGACTGTAAAAAACAACCTTAAAAATAAAATTTCCAAAATAATGATTTTAATTGTATAATAATATTAAATTGTAATATCTTTTGGGTATATTAAGGTTTTATAAACTAAAGAAGCTCAAACTACTAAAATTTTTTTGAATTTATCCTGTAAAAAAATTTATATTTTATGTTCAACATCAAGTCGGCACGGTTTGTCATGATTCAATCGCAATAATATTCTTTATTTATGCAAATGAGGTCATTAGAAAAAAAAGGGTATGCGATTTAATTTTACATTTATCTATAGATTGAATAAAATATGAGATATCTTGATAAGCTTGGTGCCCCTATAACCTGGAACTCAGAGGATGTTAATACTGCTGATTGGCGAAATGTAACCACACCCTCAGATTACCGTTAAAAGAAAAACTATAAGTGATTGCCTAAAAAATTTCTAATAATTTTTTAAGAAAACACATCAAAAGAATTAAATTTTACCTGAAATATCGTATAGCAGGATTTGGGGTCAATTGGTATAAAATAAAACGTGGCGCCGGCCCCTTTGAACGAAATAATATAATATTATTTTGCCAATCTTATTTTATAAATTGAAAATTAAAGAAATCGGACACGACTTCCGAAATATCAAAGGGGCATCTTTTCCTAATAATAATGTGGTCTGCTGCTAAAATTATTAAAATCTGTTATTTAATTTCCCATATTTCGAATATAATGGCTTACATTATTAGCACACTCATATGTTTGATTTTATAACATATATCAACGTATATCGACCAATTTGTTGTCTTACATAACAAATATATACATTTAAAACTTGATTCAAATATATTTTTTATAGAAGAAGTATGGCACGCTGCTCTAGGCCAAAGCGTTTATATGATGCTATTTCTAATGTTTGGGGATCGAAAACAGCTGATATAACACTGACTTTGTTTGTAATATATTTTTATGATTTTGTGGGAACTAATAATCGATAAATTATCTTTTGTAAGAGAATCATACAACATAATTAAGCGCAGAAATAAGTACAACTCAAATATTATGTACATGTTTCGAGAACTTTAATAACTTAATCGAGCTAATTGCTTAAAAAGCGTACTTAAGAACTGAACAGCCCACGCGATTAATTGCCTGTATCTGCACACATATGTACGTGCATATGCGTGGGTGTCACTCACATCCTTATTAACTAACGCTGTATTAATTATTAAGCTTTTGTTAAAAGGCGCTAAAAACACAGGAAATCTAATTTCAACGAATCATGCGGGAGACACGTCATGAAACTAATTTAATTAAACTCTGTTATATATACATATACACACTATACATACATATTCTCATACTGTACATGCTAATAATACACTTATATTTATCACATATACATTCGATAATGATAGTTTGTGTCAGACTGTCTGAACCACTATTAATTAGAAAAAGACAATCAAACAAGCAGTTAGATAAATATTCGAGACTAGCATTTCTATTATTAAACCCTTAGTATTATGGATCATACGCACTCATACTTACGAGTATATGTTATGGTATATACATACATTTATACATACTTTGACTACGAACATAAGTATGTGTGTTCGTTTCGTGAGTAAAACTTCCTTAAATAGGATGTAATTGTTTGTGTCAACACTTAAAATACAAATTAGCTGTTATGTTAGGTTATTTGCTTTCGTCGGTAGCATTTCACCAATACTTCTCCTTATCACTATTAACATGTTTCTGCTTTTATGAGATTATTAACGAAATTTAGCAATTCTCTGAAATTTATGGGAGAAAAGTAAAAATTGTTGGTTAAGGCAAACCGCAATTGTTTATAATTAGATCGATGTTAACTAGCCGGCTTTACTCTTTGAATTTTTGGAAATTTTATTATTTACTTTAATTTATAGGGTTATGTATGACAATCGGTCGAATACTGTTATGTCATCTGATTAGTTTATATACCGTGTAATACCGACAAATTATTAAAAAAAAGAAAATGAGATACCGAACTATTTTGTCATAAGAACTAAACACCATTTCGACCGTTGCATATAGGAGTATTTACATGAAAAATGGGACCATAAGTCAAAATTAAAAATAACGTCCAACCTTATCATATAAACATTTTCTTTATGCTGAATAATTGTACCTCTAATTAGTAGACGCCGAAGTCCGTAAGTAGTAAGTTTTTTAACCTTTATATGCGACCATCTTTTATTTGCCCAAGTGGTGTTGTTATCTGTGGTTCTCGCAACATGTTGCTACAGAGTATAATATAATAGTTTTGTTCGTCTAACGGTTGTTTCTGTCTAATAAAACCAATAGATATTTGCTAATATATACAAATGACGAGTCGGGTTGAATTCCGGCTGACAGTCTGTCCGTCTATATGTGCAAGCGATACCTTGAGTAAAAATTGAGATATCATGATGAAACTTGGAACACGTGTTCCCTAGTACCCAAGGTATGTAGGTTGGTGTTGTAGATGAGTGGGCAATTGGCACGCCCACAAAATACCGTTATTTTAAAACATATTAAGTGAAATTCTGAAATATTTCAAAAAGTGGTTTAAGTTTAACGTACATATGTATCTCACAAACCGTACGAGCTATTTGACTAAACTTGCTTAGCAAAAATTCTTTTGACACCTCTTCATACAGTGTGAAAATGATTTCAACGAAATTTGGTGGACGACATCGGAATATATTTACGCCTACTTCCTATATATACATATGTATATCAAGATTTAAAATTCCATACGGTCCTTTTACTTTACATAAACATAAATCGAGAGTCAATGCCATTACGAAATAAAACTTTATACACAAAGTTTGTGTAAGCTATACGATCTTACGTGAAAAATAAGTCGAAATTGGAATATTAAATTTTTGAGACATCGAATATGTTTGAATTTTAATAAAAGACAGAGGGCTACTTTTTCTTGAAATAATATGTCGTGATGCCAAAAATGGGTAACATCGGTTGAATTTGTACCGTATATACCGCTAAATACATATGTGAGAAATTGCTCCCTTGTGCCCAAAATAGATAAAATCGGGCCAATACTATCCCTAGGGAATACTTATACACGAATTTAAAATTTCCGGTTGAATTAGTAGCGTATATATCGGTTAATAAGTAAGATGTCTTAGTAAAATTAAGTGAACGTATTGTATACTAGTATATTAGTATGTATTGGATATACTACAGCTTTATTCCCAGCATGTGTGTGTGATATTTAAATACAATTAAGTCGAATTCCTTAAAATAATGTGGTTTAGTTTTGATTATAAATCAAATTGGTCGAGATGTTGGTTGATTTTCTATCCTCTGGTTGATGCTTTCTTCATATACCTAATATATTAAATTTAGCCCCTTTGGATGAGTAGTGTCCTTTTGAAATAAATAGTACGGCCACGGATCAAAATGTAATAATGGAGCTAAGTGAGTGATATACATATGTACATAAGTTCATAAGATACCAAATTTGATTTTAATCCATTCCGTTTCCTCGATGTCGTTCAATGAATGTTGAATTTTTCCCAACAGTTTTTAATATAAACTTTTGTCAACACTTGAAGATATTTCCCCTGCTTTGATCCTTGCAAACTGCGACAGTATAAAAAGTAAGCCCTTG